CGCCGGCGGACAGCACCTGCCGCTGTCGCGCTGTGCGCTGTTACCCTGGCCGCCTCTCCCTTGTTCCCTCCTGCCCTAGCGCGGCGGGGGCCGGGCCGGCACAGCAGCACACCTGCTCTCAGGCGGGGCCTCCAGGCCGCGCTCAGAGTCGCTGCAGCTGCTGCCCCATGCACCTGCTCCTGCCTTTTTAGGGTGGTGGGACTACCGGGTCTCCGTGGCCTCGGAGTAGCTGTGTCCACGCTGCCGGGCCGGACCCGTCCTGGCTGTAAAGGGCACGTGAGAGCCTCTGTAAGTGATGCGGGAAGGGCGCTCACGTCTCTCCTTCATTGGTGGGGATGCCATGCCCCGTCAGCAGCCTGAGGCGTTGACTAACTGAGGGGCCGCCTGTGTTCCCCGCAGCCCAGAGTCCTGGGACAAGAAGTAGGGACGCGTGGGAGAGAGAGTCCATGCAGTGCTCTGTGCAACTTTGACATTTGTACCCTTGACGGCTCCCTGGTGACACCAGTGCCACCAAGATTGCTTACTGAGATCAGAGAAATGAGAAAGTGAAATATTACACTTATGATATGGAGATTTCATTTTCTGAACTCAATCACGTTTGATCTAATGATTGGCAAGTATTTAAACTGCAGAGTAAAGCATTCTATGGTCTTTTTAAAGAAGGAAGATCCTTTTATTAATTTGCTGGTTTGTTGAGATATAATTTGTGTGTAGTAAAGGACACAAATCTTAAAAGTACTTGGTCATATGAACGCACCCAGGTAACCACCAATCCGATCAAGAAATAGAATGATTCCTGTGCCCAGAAAGTTCCTGCGACCCCCTCCTAGTCAATTAACTACCCACCCCAGCCATCACCGATTTTTAACACTGTTGATTGGCTTTGCCTGTTCTTGGACTTTCTGTAAATGGTATAATACGGGTTCCTTTGGTGTCCTGGCTTCTCTTACTAAACGTTCTGGCCGGGCATTGTCCATCTGACCCAAGCAGGCAGCAGCAGTGAATTGGAGGCAGGAGTTGGGGGCTTATGAGAGCAGTCCAGAGGCAAAGGTTTAAGTTTGGGATTCATTAATATCTAACTAGCATTTAAACGGTGTGCAAGGCTACCCACACTACTGTAATCCCGTTTCTCTAACTTTAAACCAACAATTACAGGCCTGACTTCCCCAGCCAGGTCTCCCTCCAAATCCTGCCAGAAAAGGTTCTGCCACATTGTTAGGACTCCTGTGACGTCTGAAGGTCAGCTCATGGAAACGGGCTGGGCTAGGAGAGAGCACCGGAGCGCCCCACCGTCCATGTCAGGGGTTTGAAGCAGGTTAGAGAAGAATGGGATATCGCTGTTGAGTTAATCACCTCCAGTGACCTCTTATCTTTATTTTCTAGCTGAGTTGCGCAACGTGACAGCTTGTCAGTCTAACCAGCCGAGGTAAGAAAGAAATCTCATTGAGGAGCCTAAGGAATTAGGGGTAGGGACTGGCAGGTGGCGTGGTGGTTAAGGTGCTGGACTTCCACATTGCTTTCTCGCTTTCCCTTTCTGTCTCTCTCTTTCTGGTCAAATTAAAAAATAAATAGTAGTAAGAGGCACCAGCAGATGGCGAAATAGTTACATCACTGGACTCCCACATAGTCGACCATGGTTTGAGTCCTGGACCCAGCAGCTTGAAACTCACACTGGGCGTATGTGTGCGTGCCCAAGATCCCGAATCCCGAGAGGAGAAGGGAGGAGCCACTGGGTCCAGGACTCGAACTGCAGTTGACTACATGGGAGTCCAGCGACATAGCTATTACGCTAACTGCTGGTCCTGCAAAAATCTCTTAATAAGTAAGAACCAAATTGAATAATTCTTTAAAAAAAAAAAGAATTAGGGATGTAGCATTTCTAAAACCGCCATTTTCTTGCAGCAGAGGGCATTCGTTTGAGACTTCGGCGTGCTCCTCACCAAGCACAGGAGCACCTCACGTCTCCCCTGTCCTCATACTGCAGGCTAAAGCTGGCGTCAGCAGCACAATTTGTCTTCGGAATGGCTGACTTGACTTTTGCTAGTAAGAGGGAAATGCGAGGCAGCATGCTCAGGCTCCTCGAAGTGAAGTCTTTGTGAGCTCAGGTGAAGGGCTGTGAAGGAGCTGTCGTGAAGTGAGTCGGGAGAGGGCATGGGTGGTTGGAAACTTGTACCACAGGGAAATGGAGTAGGCAGGTCTTGGACATTTTGGGGAAAGTTCTTGTTAGAGAAACGGGCAGTCTGAGACTCAGACCCTTTCTCAGCTTTCTTTGGGTAACTTAGTAAACAGTGTATTTTTTGTCTTCAGCAGCGAAGACGATGCCATCAAAGTTTTTGTCCGCATCCGTCCGCCTGCAGAGGGCTCTGGGCCAGCCGACGGGGAGCAGGGCTTGTGTCTGTCCGTGCTGTCCGCCACGACTCTCCGGCTGCTCTCCAACCCGGAGCCCAAGACCTTCACGTTTGATCACGTTGCAGACATGAGCACCACGCAGGTAACGGGAGCCACAACGGCCTTTCCAGACAAGGCTTTGTTGTTTGGAGGGATTTTATCTCTGCTCTCTTTGGTTTGGTAGATCTCAGATAAGGACACTCAAACTGTCCATCAACATTTCAAATATACTTTTTTTTTCTTAAATGTATTTATTCCATGAGTGAGAAAGACAGTGAGAGGCAGCAGCACCCCTGCCAGTGGTCTCAGCGCAGTGACCTACCCCCAGCCTCAGCCAGCACAGGTCACAGGCGTGCATGCTCAGTGTATTCCGGGATGCTTCCAGGCGAGGGCTGCATCTTCCCACGTGGGTCTACCTCACAGAGCGTGGTGTCGAATCACTGCACCTCCTGCCTGCCTCCAGCCCACCTCAGGACCTACTGTTTGCTGACAGTGACGTGAAGAGTAGACGAGAAGGCGATCCAGGGTGACTCGGAGATTTTGACCTGAGTGGCTCTTACTAGGTCATCGGAAAAGTCATGACGCATTTTTGCATAGAAAAACAGAAAAATTAGTGACCAGCAGATGGCGTTATGTCACTGGACTCCCACGTAGTCGACTATGGTTTGAGTCCTGGACCCAGCAGCTTGAAACTCGCACCAAGTGTGTATGCATGCCCAAAATTCCAAGAGGGGACTGGAGAGCTCACAGTGTGGCCATCCTCCCTGGGGGGTGATTTCTTGCTTTCTGTCTCTGGCGAGCACATGTGCCCTATAGCAAAAATCTCTGTTAAAAAAAAAGAAGGGAACCAGCAGTTAGCGTAATGGCTATGTCACTGGACTCCCACGTAGTTGACCGCGGTTCGCGTCCCGGACCCGGTGGCTGAAAACTCATGCCGGACACGTGTGCGTACGTGCCAAAAGATCCCGAGAGGAGAATGGACGAGAAGGGATTGTGTCATGACCATACCCCCTGGGGGGTGATTTCTCGCTTTCTGTCTCTATGTCTCTCTCTGTCTGGCGAGCGCATGCGCCCTATAGCGAAAAAAAAAACCTCTCCAAAGGAAAAAAATGAAAAAACAAAAGTTATGTCAAGACTTTTCTGATGACCGAATATGTTAGATGAGGTAGATTTAGGAATTCTTGCACTGTTGCATCTACTTATATGTTGAAATAAAAATAGATACCAGAGGTTATTTAGTACGGATTTGTGAGGAAATCCCTCAAGAAAAGACAAGGCCGTGCTTTATGCCGACCGCAGCGTAATGCTTGCAGTGCGTGACACGGAATTCTGTGTCAAGTTGAGACTGGGGCTTTAAATCTGTACTTGTGCAAGAGATTAATGAACGTGGTTATGTTTAAAGTTTTACCATCTTAGATGCCCTAGACAATTTTCTATAGAAGATGCAATCTTCATATGATTGCAAGTGTTAAAAAAAAAAATCTAAGTACTCAGCTTTTATGGTTATAGTATTGAAAGAAGTTTAGAAAATAAGTCTTCATTTTTACGAAATGGTGACATTTGGTTCTTATATTTGTAGGAATCTGTATTCTCAACTGTGGCCAGAAGCATCGTGGAGTCCTGCATGAGCGGCTACAATGGCACCATCTTTGCATAGTGAGTTGGCTCTGCCTACCCCTGGTCAGTAGGAAGTGTCCGTGTTGGTCTCCTGTTGTTGCAGCAGGTCACCACCCGCTCAGTGGCTGGGACCAGCACAGGTCGGTTATCTGTGTGAGCCAGACATTCAACGCAGGTCTCACTGCGCAGCTCCAAGGTGTCAGTGCAGGCCGCGTTTCCTCCCGGAAGCTCCACGGGCAGCTCTGTCTCCTTCTGTCTCCAGCGTGTGAGGCACCAGCACTACTCGCCTTGCCGCCCCCACTCTCTGTCCTCAGAGCCGGCAGCTCACAGGCCCGAGGCTCCGGTTTTGAGGACTCACGTGATTAGATTGGCCAGAGCTGGGTAATCGAGGGAGAGGGGATTAAGCTTCTCCTGGAGAGAGGAGCGTCTACATACTGCCTGTGAAAGTCTGGGGGAAAGATTTGTCTGTCCTCTCCACTTAGCTCACGGAATCACTTATTTGTACAGTGTAGACGCATGCGTACGTGTTTTGTCCTTTGGGTTATAGTCCCAGTACTTCATTATTTACCCTGTCACTCGTATGGCCCCAGCTCCGGCCGGTGGAGCTCTTGGAAGCTGGTTTCCGTGTTCCCATGACGCCCTTGTGCTGGAGCTCCCTCACGGGGATGCTGCCGCGTGCTCCTGCCTCATCTCGTCCTCTCCCCGCGCTGGGCGGAGCCAGCCGTTCCACCGCTGAGCCTGGTTCTTTCTTTTTATAAGAAATTGTATTTTATCATTTCTTGCATACATTTCATTGCTGCACATCTTTGTGGGATATATTGATATGGACCTTGAAGGCGTGAATGCCGTGTGCAGTACGTAAATCAAGGGCCATGTCCTTCACCGCCAACGAAAACCACCGCATTCGGATGGGTACCACTGGACTTTGCTCTGCAGGGTTTTCTCTCCTTTCTTTTTGTCTTTTTGAGGTAAGTATTTAAGATTGGCAAGATCTGTTTTTTAAATGTTTCTCAGCCGTGGAGTGCCATTCCACAACCCATCTGCCTGAATTCCTGTGTCTGTTAAACACTTTGGCTGAGCCCCTCCTGGTCGTTTTTATGGCTTATTATTCTGCTTATGTTGCTAAGAGCACATGTACTTACCAGAGAGATCGAGAGGGAGAAAGCACTCGCAGTGGATGTGGTCACGCTGCTGTCCCCTCTCCATTTCTCCAGCCCATTGGGACTTGGGGCATGCACACACATGTGCCTGGTATGTTTTTCAAGCCACCAAGCCCAGAACTTGAACTGCATTTGGTCATGGGAGCTGTGCATTGGTCCTGCGCTAGAACTGTTCCTTAATAGGCATGCTAATTGTAATGTTTAATTCATGGCATAGATGCTAATAACTTAATAAAAATTGGTTTCGGTACTCGTGGGTAGACATAAGGAGCGCTTGGGGGGAAAACGAGTGTTTGCCTCCAGCAGGATCCCCTCTGTCTCAGCCAGCCAGGATCACAGGCACGCATGTGGATACTCGGCACGCACGGGAGACTCCGGGACCCAAACCAGGGGCCCTCCAGTGTGGGTCCAGCCGCATTGCTGCTATGCCACTGCCTGGCCCTTTCAGTGTCCTTTAAAGGTGAAGTCTTTAGGGAAGGAATTGCTTCAGTATTTACAATAGCAAAAATTAGGAACAGAAGTCCACTGGATTCTGGCTTCCTAAATTATAATGCTGCAAGGCCACATCCATGGGATGGGAGGGAGCTGTTAAAATAATACAGAAGACCTCTGTTTACTGGTTTTGAAAGGTATCGGCCTTCAAATGAAGGGAACACAGTTGCAGAGCAGCAAAAAGATCAGCATCTCAATTTTTATAAATCAAAGTTAGATGAAAGCTTGGAAGGCTGTGTCTGTGTACCCTGGAAACTGGTCAGCGATTTGTAGTGGCTAGCCCCTGGTGGAATCGGTGGGAAAGAAGGTAGACCATTCATTCACCTTTCACGCTGGACTGTATTACAGTAGGAGGTAGTACTATCACTTCTGTGTGTACAACTATGAAACGTTCTCTTTTACAGTGGACAGACTGGCTCGGGGAAGACGTTTACAATGATGGGTAAGTACATCGGAGAGGAGTGTCTGCTGACTGGCCGGGCTCCTGTGATGGCAGCGCCTGATCTGGGAGGCGTCCTTTCTGTTTACAAGGTCGATTATATAGAGTAAGGGGTTTTCGCCAGGCCCTGGGCCGACGGTGTGTTCCTCATAGCAAGGTCTGACATGTCCGTATTTGTCAGTGTGTTCTGGAGCTTAGTGCCTAGCACAGAACAGGTGGACTCAGTGTCTCAGTGGCTCTCCTGACTTCTCATTCATTCAGACTCCTGCATGACCACGCCAGGCATCAGGATTCCAGACCAGTGACCCTTCCGCCGCCCCCTGTGGTACCTGCTCCTCTGACTTCTGTGATCTTTAGTTTCAAGTATTTTCAAACTTCTACAAATGAAATTTTATAATATGTGTTCTTTTGTTTCTGGCTTCTTTATTTCAACATTCAGTGTCTAAGATAAGTACTAAAAAATTTCTCCTCTATTTCTAGCAGACATTTGGATTATTTCCAGTTTGGGGTCATATGAATAATGCTTCTGTGAACATTTTTGTTTGTGTGTGTCTTTTGAAGTCATTTCTTTTGGATACTTGTCCAGGAGTAGAGTCGCTGGATTATGTGGTATATGTGTTTAGCTCCAGTAGGTATTGCCCAGCAGATCTTCAGAGTGATCATCCCGGCAGTATACAGAAGTTCTGGTTGCTTCACATCGTTAGACACACTTGATATTGTCAGTTTTGAAACCTGCTGGGGACCAGCACATGGCACATTGGTTATATTGCTGGACTCCCAGGTAGTCAACTATGGTTTGAGTCCTAGACCCAGAAGCTTAAAAACATATACCGGGCGTGTGTGCTGCGTGCCCAGAATCTCAAGAGGAGATGGGAGGAAAAGGGATGATGGCTATTTGGGTGGCTTCTTTAAAATGCTCAGACTTTTTTCCCATTTCAAAGTTAGCTGATCTTTTTCTTACTTATTTCCTGGGGTTCCCTTTAAAATAGAAAGCCTTATGTTTGATTTTTCTCTAGTTTTTGTTTCTTTTGTTTTGGTTTGGTTTTTTGTTTAAATTTATTTATTTATATTCTTAATACTATGCATCATTCTAGCATACAAAATGAGATTTTCCATCCAGAATACGCTGTATATTGGCTCAATCAAGCACATCAACATACATGTTATCTTCAACAAATAATCTTCCATTTCTTGTTTCCTGTATATTCTGCTTTTTTTCCCATCCTTGATTCTCTGTCTCTCACCTTCTGCCACCTCCCACCCCCTCCCACACTGTCTCTGGTATCCATGGTTGCTTTCTATGCCTTTCCCCCCATTTTATTGATTCACTAAAGATCTTAATTAATCTAAATATTTTCAGTAGCAAGCACAGCTGATATATACATATCCATGAACACAAGTCTGACCCTAGGCATAAACCTCAGTGAGCAGAATGAACATACTATAAAGTAGCACCTAGCTGGGGCTATATAGCTTACTGCAGTCATCAAATAGGTATTTTAATGCATTTTTTTAATTTCAAGAAAAACAGTTTTTGTGGGTTTTTTTTCTGAAACATTTTTTAAATGAATTAATTTACATTCATTCCCTAAGCATTGTCACAGCATACAAAATGTTGTTTTCCATTCCTTTTTCCCCCCACATTTTATTGATTCACAAAATTTCTTAAATAATCTAACTACTTTGAATAGCAAGCTTAGCTGATATATACATCTCTATGAATGCATGTCTGACTTAGGGCATGAATCTCTGAGTAGAATGAATATACTATAAGGTTGCCCCTAGCTGATGCTATATAGTTTACTATGGTCATTAATAATGTATTTTTTACTGTATTTTACAATTTCAAGAAATGCCTGGGCCAGCTCGGCATGAACACGCTTCTCTGAGTGGGCAGGGCTGCGGATTAGAAATAGACACAATAACACACACACACAGACACACAGTATAGAAAGGCGAGGATCGGGTGGGCGCAGCTGCTCTGATGGAGAAGTCGCGACCAGAACCAGCCTCAGGCTTATTCTTTTCAAGGGCAGAAAATGGGGGAAGGGGAAATGGGGTGTAAAAGGAATGGGAAGAAGGAAGTGGACTGGGAAGAGAATAAGGGAGGAGGAATCGGAATGCAAAGCCAGTTCTTGGATGTAAATCGCCTGAGGATGTGAAAATGACGGCCCGTATAATTTGCCTGATCTTTTTGGGGGACAGTCTGATAAAGGCTTGTGACTTCCTGTAGCCAGTGCTGGGCAGTATGGGGTGTTGGCTGTCAGCAACAACAGGAAGACAGCCGTCGACAGCAGGCAGGTACTGCTTTCGTATGTCGATGCTTCTCATAGCCCTGCTGGAGTAGCTTACGGAAGCGCGTGTCTGCGGGCCACATGTTCTCATCACATGCTTTCAAATTGGCTGTTCTCCACAAAGAAAAGTAGATGTAACTTTAATAAATCAAAGAAATGCTAAGGAAATATGCCTAAAACTTAAAGTCAGGAAGCAGGTTGAGATTCTGTTTAAATAGTAGGTATATGAACCTATCGGCAGCTCAAGACAAGACAAAAATCCTTAAAATCGGAAAACAAATCCTAGAGAAAAATCAACAATGTTTTAGCTAAAAGTCATAAAATTCTATTTCACCAGTTCAGTCTCATGTACTTTATCTTTTCTTGTGATTCAGTTTTCCCAATTAAATTTTGGGATATAATATTCAACTCCAGACTTGTCCCCACGGGTAAGTTGGCCATTTTCTTAGTTTTTGAAGTCTTATTTCTGTGTGACTGTATTTAATTTTCCTGGTATAGCACTCCCGGCAGAATTTCTTGGAGAGCTTGTCTGGTGTTGGTAAATTCTTTCAGATTTTGTTTATCTGAGAATGTTCTTGTCTTTTCTTCCCATGTGAAGGATAATCTTGCTGGGTACAGTATTCTTGGTTGAAATTGCTTTTCCCTTAACACTTTGAATATATTTTCTCATTCTTTCCTCACTCGCATTGTTTCCGATGAGAGATCCACTGTGAGCCTGATGGGATATCCTTTGTAGGTAACTTGCCGTTTCTCTCTTACCAATCTTAGTATCTTGTCTTTGTCTGTGGCTTTGCTCAATCTGGCTATAATGTGTCTTGGAGAAGATCTTCTTGGGTTGATTCTATTTGAGGTCCTTTGTATTTCTTGGGACTGGATCTTCGAATGCTTCTCTAGGTTTGGAAAGTTTTCTTCCAGGATTTCATGGAATAGATTGTCAATGCCCTTATGGGTCTCTTCCCCTTCTGGGACACCAATTATTCGGGTGTTTGGATGTTTGATGGTATCTAGTATTTCTTGTATAGTACTCTCATGTTTTTGGACAATTTTCTCAGTCTTCATGGTGGATTTTTCTAGACCAGTAATACTATCTTCTATAACTGAGATTCAATTTTCAGTGTGATCTAGTCTGCTTTGAATACTTTCAAGGGAGGTTTTGACTTCCTGTATTATAGTCTTCATCTCTAACAGGTCCATTTGATTCTTTCTTTTGGTGTGTAATTCCTCTTTTAGATCTTGCAAGAATTTCCTTACCTCCTGAAGCTTGTCAGCTTCTTTCCCCTGCCTCTTCAGCAGTTCACGGTCTCTCTTCTCTTCAATCTCTGTGAGGTTTGTCACCATGGAAATTCTAAATTCTTTATTAGACATTTCCATGAATTTCATCCTACTATCTGAGGATGGTGCATTACTTCTAATTCTTAAAGTTAAGTCTGAGTGTTCAGAGGTGTGCAGGAGGTGATCTGCAATCTCTCTTCCATTCTGTTCTCACTCTTTGTGCATCAGAATCAGTGGGAATACATTCTCCTCTCGGGATCTTGGGCACGCACGCACACGTGCCCGGCGTGAGTTTTAAGCCACCGGGTCCGGGACACGAACCGCGGTCGACTACGTGGGAGTCCAGCGACATAGCCATTACGCTAACTGCTGGTTCCCTTGATTCTTTTTTTTAAAGTGCATAATTCCTCTTTTAGATCTTGCAAGAATTTCCTCACCTGGAACTTGTCAGCTCCTTCCCCTGCCTCTTCTGCAGTTCATTGTCTCTCTTCTTCGATCACTGTGAGCTTTATCACCATGAAAATTCTAAATTCTTTATCAGACATTTCCATGAATTACATCATACTGTCTGAGGATGAAGAGGACTTATTTGTCCTTGGAGGAGAAGTATTTTCTTGCTTTCCCATATTTCTTGTGACCCTGCGGTGATGTCTAGTCATCAGATGGATGGTGCATCTCTTCTAATTCTTGAAGTTCAGTCTGAGTGTTCAGAGGGGTGCAGGAGGAGGTGATCGGCAATCTCTCTTCCATTCCGTTCTCAGTCTTTGTGCATCAGAATCAGTGGGAATAGAGGACTACCCTGACCCTAGCTGTACTCAGATGTAGAGATATTGCTCACTCGGACCTGTCTAGACACTCACAGCAGGAAGCCTCCATTTTCAGTCTGAAAGCACTAGTTCACAGCCTGAGTTGAGGACCTCGGTGGGTTGCTTTTTGTTTGTTCAGGAGGCAGCAGCTGTTTGGTAAAACTGACGGTGGCCACCGGGGGCGTCCTTCCAGTCTCATGATCTGTGGGCTCTATTCCACACTGCTAGGCCTGACTGCCTGTTAGAAGTGCCACAACCTCGGGTGTCCATTTTCAGTCTGAAAGCACTAGTTCACAGCCTGAGTTGAGGACCTCGGTGGGTTGCTTTTTGTTTGTTCAGGAGGCAGCAGCTGTTTGGTAAAACTGACGGTGGCCACCGGGGGCGTCCTTCCAGTCTCATGATCTGTGGGCTCTATTCCACACTGCTAGGCCTGACTGCCTGTTAGAAGTGCCACAACCTCGGGTGTGCAGTGTGTCCTCTGTGACTGTGTGATTGGTCGCATAAGGTGCCCTTTTAAAGGACGCAGGATAGAATGGACATGAACGCTTTTTCTTTCCCTCTCTTTTAGGACCATCTGAATCTGATAATTTTTCTCATAACCTGAGAGGAGTAATTCCACGAAGTTTTGAGTATTTGTTTTCCTTAATTGATCGTGAAAAAGAGAAGGTAAAATTTATTATGAAATAAAATAGTTTTGTGAAATGTCTGATTGTGATTGGCTCAGACTGCATGGAGGGGCATAAATGGTACTCTGTGGTGTGGATTCACTAGAGTGGTGTTTATATGCATAGGACCATCCAATGTCTGGGGGTAGCAGGTGGCGTAGTAGTTCAGGTGCTGGACTCCCATGTGACCAACTGCAGTTCAAGTCCCAGACCAGCAGTTTCTTTTTTTTTTTTTTTTTTTTTTTTTTGCTATAGGATGTGTGCGCTCGCCAGACAGAGAGAGACCGAAAGCGAGAAATCACCCCCCAGGGGGCACAGCCATGCTGCAATCCCTTCTCCATTCTTCTCGGGATCTTGGGCACGTACGCACACACACCTGGCATGAGTTTAAACCACCAGGTCCAGGACTCGAACCACGGTCAACTACATGGAGTCCAGCAACATAGCCATTACACTAACTGCTGGTCCCCCGGCAGTTTCACAATCACACTGGCACCCAAAATCCTGAGAGGAGAATGGAGGAGAAGGGATTGCAGCGTTGCCATCCTCCTGGGTATGATTTCTCACTTTCCATCTCTCTGTCTCTGTCTCTTCAGAAAGTGCCCAGACCCTATTGCAAAAATCTCTCTTAAAAAATAGTAAAGAAATAAAGTCTGACACTGTAGGACATTCACAACTTGCAAAGCACGTGTAAGCTGGATGCTCGTGCGAGGTGGGGTGCTGCTTCCCTTGCAGGCTGGCGCTGGCAAGAGTTTCCTGTGCAAGTGCTCCTTCATTGAGATCTACAACGAGCAGATTTATGACCTGCTGGACGCCGCGTCGGCTGTGCTGTACCTCCGCGAGCACATCAAGAAAGGCGTCTTCGTCGTGGGGATGGTGGAGCAGGTGGTGACCTCAGCCGCCGAAGCCTACCAGGTACCCTGTCTCGCGTATCCGTTAGATGCTCAGGTGACGAACACGCCGAGAAGTCATCTTTATCTGAAAGAAAGAAAAACTTGAGGTGCCAACATGTTGCTCTGTGTGAAACGCAGAGCTAAAGGAGATGCATGTGGCAGGATGGTGTGGGTTTCTCACAGCTAAGATAGAGCTTGGAGCTGTCTGTCTACACTGCAGTATGTTGGTGCTACTCGTTCCAGTCAGGTACTCTCAAATTGAAACTACCCTGCAGGGGCCAGCTGGTGAAGTGGTAATCAAGGCACTGGATCCCACATGGCTGACTGCATAGTTTCTTCGTCGTGGGGATGGTGGAGCAGGTGGTGACCTCAGCCGCCGAAGCCTACCAGGTACCCTGTCTCGCGTATCCGTTAGATGCTCAGGTGACGAACACGCCGAGAAGTCATCTTTATCTGAAAGAAAGAAAAACTTGAGGTGCCAACATGTTGCTCTGTGTGAAACGCAGAGCTAAAGGAGATGCATGTGGCAGGATGGTGTGGGTTTCTCACAGCTAAGATAGAGCTTGGAGCTGTCTGTCTACACTGCAGTATGTTGGTGCTACTCGTTCCAGTCAGGTACTCTCAAATTGAAACTACCCTGCAGGGGCCAGCTGGTGAAGTGGTAATCAAGGCACTGGATCCCACATGGCTGACTGCATAGTTCAAGTCCCAGTCCTGGCAGCTTGAAAAACACTCCGCAAGTGTGTGCATGCATGCCCGAGACCTCGGACGGGGGATACGAGAGGAGAAGAAGGTGTTGCCGAGTGCCCGTCCTCTGTGGGCGCTTCTCGCAGCCAGTCCTGTGGGAGGAGACTGGCTAGCACCCTCTCCCCCGTCTCCATAGCCCAGTGTCCGTCAAGGCTCGGCATGGTTATTGTAGCTTCCATTCTGGATGCGTGGTGAAGGAGAGGGTAAAGGCTGACGTTCTTAAGGGTTCGTCTTTTAAGATGACAAGGCGGAGCATAACACAGAATCACGTTGGTTTTCTTAGAGGTTGGTTACAACACGCCTTACTTTCCTCACACGGAGAGTTGTTCTTTTTGTTACTAGTTTTGTTTGTTTGTTTTAGAGAGAGAAATTTTTGCATTAGCAAGAGACAGAGAGAAGGAAAGCCAGAGATCAGCCCCCGGAGGGGAATGGCCACTGCGCAGCCCCTTCTCCTCCAGTCTTCTCTTGGGATTTTGGGCACGTACGTACATGCACTTGGCATGAGTTTGAAGCCCCTGAGGCTGGGACTCAGTGAATATTGTAGAAGTCGCACTGCCAGCGCCACGGTGCAGGCGCGAAGTGCTGTGCAGAAGAGGCCTGGTGCTCCCAGCCCCATTCCCTGCCCTTGCCCCAGATCCCGACAGGTTGGAGAACTGGAGGAGGAAGGAGCGTGGTGTGACCAGGCCCCAAGGACGGTGTGCACACTATCAGGAATGAAGGAGGGAGAACTGTGAAAGTAGATATTAGGTTATTGATTCTTAAATGCATATCTGATGTTTTAAGTTTGCCTCAAGTGTATCTGACTTGCGTTTCTTTTTCATCGCCAGAGGGCAATGTGGTTGCCAGAGACAGAGACAGTATTGCCAGCCAGCGAGCTGGGGAGCATTGTGATGGGATGCTCGGTTCTCAGGCCCAGACCACTGATTAGAGACCTGTTGTGAGCTGCAAATGAAGCCATGGCACAGAAGTATGGAAAATAGACTTTTTTTTTTTAAGAGAGATTTTTACTGTAGGGCATGTGCGCTCGCTGGAGAGACAGAGACAGAAAGCAGATGGCCACACTGCAGTCCCTTCTCCATTATCCTCTGGGGATCTAGGCCATGCACGCACACAGCCCGCATGAGTTTCAAGCCATTTGGTCTGGGACTCAAACCACGACCAACTCCACTGAGGTACACACACACATGACCAACATTTTTTTTTTAAATGTATTCATTGTTATTTTATTTATTATTATTTTTTAAATTGACTAGAGAGACAAAAAGAATGAGAGGGATAGTGAGAAATCAAGCCACCAGGTTCAGGACTCGAACTACAGTCAGCCATGTGGTAGTCCAGCCCCCTCAACCACCATGCCACCTGCCAGTACGCGCCCAGCTTGTTTTTGAAGCATTAAGGACTGGGATTCGAATCACAGCCAGCCATGTGGGACGGTTCCCTGGGTGAAGGGTTTAAGGCTGTGCTCTGGGGCCGGCTCCTGCTGTTGCTTCTTGTCCAGTTTTCCTTCTGCCCAGGTGCTGTCTGGGGGGTGGAGGAACAGACGTGTGGCCTCGACATCGATGAACAGAGAGTCCTCCAGGTCCCACGCAGTCTTTACAATCGCAATAGAGTCGATGGAGAGAAGCAATGAGGTCGTGAACATACGAACCTCCCTGCTCAACCTGGTGGATTTGGCAGGGTCTGAAAGGCAAAGAGATACCCACGCAGAGGGAATGCGGATGAAGGTAAGAATGAAGTTACGGTTCCCTACCTTTTGAAGTCTTACCACAAGTCAGGACCAAGCTGTGTGTGCGGGACGCAAAGGAACACAGAACTACTTGCATCTGGAAGGAGCCGCGGTTTCTGTTGTGGGGCAGGGACAGCAGACGTACCTGGGGGAGGCAAGAAGGCTTCCGCCCGTGCCAGGTGGTGGTGATGCCTGCGACAGCAGAGGGGCAGGTGTGGACAGGTGGATTTCCTGAGTGGTCATCTCAAAGGGGGCATGACGGCGTAGAGAGAGGAACAGGACACGTGCCCGGCTGGGGTATCTTCAGGGTTCCTGTGGGTGCAGAGGAACGTGCCTGCACTGCAGCCTGCTCAGTGGGCGGGCGCGTTAGAGGCAGGAGTCCAGGTCGTCCAGGACCCTGGTGCTCAGCAGTTCACACTCTTGCATAAGGTTTTTGTCACAGTGCAACTGCTCTCCAGACAGAGAGAGAAATCACCCCCGGGGTGGATGGGCTTGCCACAGTCCCTTCTCCATCCTCTTGGGATTTGGGGCACACACATACACACCTGCATGATTTTTCAAGCTGGGCTCGGGACTTGAACTGCACAGTCAGCCATGTGGAATCCAGCACCTTAACCACCATGTCACCTGCTGGCCCCTGGCACACAACTCTTTAAACACTGAGAAACAGTGAAAGGGTTTGAGCAGACTGCTGATTTCATATAAAAAGCCTGTTTGATAACGTCCAAGCTCCGACCTTGCTTTGGGCTAAGGAAGAGCAGCAGGCCTGAGGCTCTGCGTAACCCGTGCTTCTGCGCACTGCAGTGTGAGTCTCGGGAGTGTGCATGAAGCTCCTGTAGTTTAGGGTATACAGGGGCTGGGGTGAGGGCTGGGAATGGGGAGGGAAGTCTACTTTCTGCACTTAATTGAAGATTGGATCATCTGAGCGCTTGGGGAGTTTGGGGAATCTCGGGTTCGTGTTTCTGTGGAGGGACAAAGCAGATGAAGTAGCCTGTGCTTGTAAGAGGACCCGCACTAGGTCTGGGAGAACACTTCCTATAGGGCCAGCATGTGCATGGTGGGTAAGGTGCTGGACTCCCACATGGCCAACCGCTGTTCAAGTCCCAGATCTGGCAGCTTCAAAGCAATGCCATTCATGTGTGCAGACATGCCCCAGATCCCAAGAGAATAAAGGAGAAGAGGCCGAGGTGTGGCTACCCTCCCTGGTGGGGTGATTTCTCTCTCCCTCTCCCCATCTCCGGTGAGTACATGCACCCTATGGCGAAACCTTTTAAGAAAAAAAAAGTTACAATCATGTAGGTAACTTTTTTTCCCTTTTTTGCGCGAGTTTTGTGTTTGTCTTTGAATACTAAAATGATAGTGTACATGGAGTAGGAAAAGGTCATCGTCCGCGCCTTGCCTGTCCGTCCAGAATGTCACCTAGGGGGCGTACTTTAGTTCAAGGCTCCAGGGTCAGCAGCGTGCCCACGGTGCTCTTTTCCCTTGCCGCCCTAGGAAGCAGGTAACATAAACCGGTCCCTGAGCTGCCTGGGCCAAGTGATCACCGCACTAGTGGACGTGGGCAATGGAAAACAGAGACATGTTTGCTACAGAGACTCCAAACTTACCTTCTTACTCCGGGTGAGCAGGCCTTCGTGCTCGGGCTCTTCCCAGCGTGCTAGCCGGGGCCCATAGCGACGGTATCTCAGGCCTTGGCTGTTTCAAAAGACCTCGTGGGCTGGCGGGCTCCTGAGCATAGTGGCTGGGTGCTGCGCAGAGCCGGATCCCGTATCACCCTCCGTGGCTCTCGTCCTGGTCCCAGCAGCCAGAGACAGGTGCAGGTGCACGCATGGCTGCAGTCCGGCCCGGTGCAGACGGGGAGAGGATTGTCGTGCCCTCTGGCAGTTCAGGGTGGGGGAGACCTCCTGGGGCACCCTGGCAGTGATAATGTGCCACTCGAGCAGCTCAATCCTCATGGCAGCCACAGTTTGAATCCCTGCCTGGGTCAGCCTGAAACACACGTGCCTGAGACCCGCAGGCTGGAGGAGGGGCTGACTTTTGACCCACCTGTGAGGGTGCTCTTCTCTCTCCCCGCTCTCCCAAGTACATGCTTTGTCATGAGTACAGAAAAAGCGTGTTGAATTTTTAAAATCATGTGATTTCTTACCTGAAAACCCGTCCCGTTTACATCGTCACACAGGACTCCCTGGGTGGCAACGCCAGGACCGCCATCATCGCCAACGTCCATCCCGGCTCCCGGTGTTTTGGGGAGACCCTGTCCACACTTAACTTTGCTCAAAGAGCCAAACTGATTAAAAACAAGGTAATGTACTATGTATACTTATTTTAGAAAATGCTGAAATTAGAGTGTGCCATTTTTGAGGTTGCCCTAATAATATTATTAAAAGCTTATCTTAAGGGACCAGCAGTTGGCGTAATGGCTATGTTGCTTGACTCCCATGTGATCGACCACGGTTCGCCTCCCAGACCCGGTGGCTTAAAACTCACGCCGGGCGCGTGTGCGTGCGTGCCCAAGATCCCGAGAAGAGAATGGAGGAGAAGGGATTGCGGCGTGGTCATCCCCCTGGGGGGTGATTTCTCGCTTTCTGTCTCTGTCTCTGTCTGTCTGTCTGGTGAGCGCACGTGCCTTATTGTAACTCTCGGGTCATCAGAAGAGTCATGGCACATTCTGGCATAGGAGATACACCACGGCTTTTCCAGTGACCCAATGTGTGCCAAGTTCTGGCTCCTCTCTCATAACCTCTGTAACCACATGAACTTCAAAGCCTAGGCTAGTCTGCCAGTCGTTGAGGTGTGACTAACTTTCCGTAAGAAAGGCAGTCTCTCCTACAGTTGGGTTGAAGATTTGACTTGTCCGAGCCGTGCTGGCAGGGCCGTGTGCGGGGTGCATGCGTGTGTGCACGTGGGGGAGGGGGCCACAAGAGAATCCCGTGACATGGACACACTCCATCTTTAGAGCTATCTGCAGCTCCGATCTGTGACTGTAGGGAGGAACTGGGGGTGTGCTCTTCTGCTTGTTTTTCTCTTCTCACTTAGCAGTCAGTCAACAGTCTCCTGTGCTCTGTGGTTACCAGCAGGTATGGGAGTTCTCTCCCCCGACCAGCCAGTGGTCCACAGCAGACACTGTGCCCCTAATTCAGCCGTCTCCCCCTCCGTGGCTCTCGTCCTGGTCCCAGCAGCCAGAGACAGGTGCAGGTGCACGCATGGCTGCAGTCCGGCCCGGTGCAGACGGGGAGAGGATTGTCGTGCCCTCTGGCAGTTCAGGGTGGGGGAGACCTCCTGGGGCACCCTGGCAGTGATAATGTGCCACTCGAGCAGCTCAATCCTCATGGCAGCCACAGTTTGAATCCCTGCCTGGGTCAGCCTGAAACACACGTGCCTGAGACCCGCAGGCTGGAGGAGGGGCTGACTTTTGACCCACCTGTGAGGGTGCTCTTCTCTCTCCCCGCTCTCCCAAGTACATGCTTTGTCATGAGTACAGAAAAAGCGTGTTGAATTTTTAAAATCATGTGATTTCTTACCTGAAAACCCGTCCCGTTTACATCGTCACACAGGACTCCCTGGGTGGCAACGCCAGGACCGCCATCATCGCCAACGTCCATCCCGGCTCCCGGTGTTTTGGGGAGACCCTGTCCACACTTAACTTTGCTCAAAGAGCCAAACTGATTAAAAACAAGGTAATGTACTATGTATACTTATTTTAGAAAATGCTGAAATTAGAGTGTGCCATTTTTGAGGTTGCCCTAATAATATTATTAAAAGCTTATCTTAAGGGACCAGCAGTTGGCGTAATGGCTATGTTGCTTGACTCCCATGTGATCGACCACGGTTCGCCTCCCAGACCCGGTGGCTTAAAACTCACGCCGGGCGCGTGTGCGTGCGTGCCCAAGATCCCGAGAAGAGAATGGAGGAGAAGGGATTGCGGCGTGGTCATCCCCCTGGGGGGTGATTTCTCGCTTTCTGTCTCTGTCTCTGTCTGTCTGTCTGGTGAGCGCACGTGCCTTATTGTAACTCTCGGGTCATCAGAAGAGTCATGGCACATTCTGGCATAGGAGATACACCACGGCTTTTCCAGTGACCCAATGTGTGCCAAGTTCTGGCTCCTCTCTCATAACCTCTGTAACCACATGAACTTCAAAGCCTAGGCTAGTCTGCCAGTCGTTGAGGTGTGACTAACTTTCCGTAAGAAAGGCAGTCTCTCCTACAGTTGGGTTGAAGATTTGACTTGTCCGAGCCGTGCTGGCAGGGCCGTGTGCGGGGTGCATGCGTGTGTGCACGTGGGGGAGGGGGCCACAAGAGAATCCCGTGACATGGACACACTCCATCTTTAGAGCTATCTGCAGCTCCGATCTGTGACTGTAGGGAGGAACTGGGGGTGTGCTCTTCTGCTTGTTTTTCTCTTCTCACTTAGCAGTCAGTCAACAGTCTCCTGTGCTCTGTGGTTACCAGCAGGTATGGGAGTTCTCTCCCCCGACCAGCCAGTGGTCCACAGCAGACACTGTGCCCCTAATTCAGCTCAATTCTTTTTTTTTTCTTTAAATTTGTTTATTTACATTCATTCACTATACATCATTACAGCATACAAAATGAGAGTTTCCATCTAGAATACACTGTATATTGGCTCAAGCAAGCACATCAACATATGTGTTGTCATCAACAAATAATTTTCCATTTCTTGTTTCCTGTATATTTTGCTTTTTCTCCCATCCTCGACTCGCTCTCTCTCACCCTCTGCCATCTCCCACCCTCCTCGCTGTCTCCCTGGAGAGCCGCAGCAGGAGGCCCCAGTCCCACAAGGCCGCCACCCTCCACCTGTGCCCATGGCCAGCCCAGCTGGATGCCCCTGCAGTCCTGGCCCCAGCTGTAAATCGGGTCCCATGACCTTCTCCTCACACTTGATGAATATACAGAGCAGCACCCAGAGCTCGGGGACATTGCTTACTCTTACCGGTTTGGCGTTAACATCACGAAGGGTACAGGGGAGGGCGCGGCCGGCGTGCGCACGGGTGCAGAGCTTCATGCCCTCCCCCAGCACAGCCTCCAGGAACCCAGGTGCAGCCTCCTGTGCAGGTGCCTCGGCCCCCATCCAGCCTTGGGGCACCACAGAGGCTCCGTACACAGGCGTGACTGGTCAAGTCCGTGGCCATTGGAGGTCCACGTCACCTTCAGCCTCTCCTCTCCCTGGGGTTGGTGGGGCTGAAGGGTCGTAGCCCTACGCCTGGCCTTCCCTGTCCTCAGCTTTCGTCCTGAAATTACCGAGGGCTGGCCGCCCATCTGCTTATTAGCGTATACATAAAAAGACACTTGGCCCTTGGGAGACCCCAAGGATTTTAGGAACTGTATGCCTGGAAAGGAGGTGAAGACCAAATGTATATTCCACAGGATTGCAGCTAAGGATTCCCTCATTTTACATTCTCTTAAGAAGCTTCTTTGGTATTGTGTGTACCAGGGTCAGGAAACGTCACGTGAAAAGCCAGTTGGTACACATTTATACTCTCTGGCCCACCTGGTCTGCCCAGCTGCTCAGCTCACTGTGTAGTGAGGAGGCAGCCGTGCTCAGCATGGACGAGTGGCAGGGACCACGCACACTGACCGCAGAAGCGAGAGCGGGCCGTCCGACCCTGCGGCAGCCTGTTGAGAGGACGGCGAGCCCCACTTACTGCAGAGACACCGGGGCCCTTCGGCTCCCGTGGACACTCAGTGCTGGAAGCCGCCAGATTACTCTCTCTCTCTGTTCAGGAAGGCAGTCGGCCCTCCTTGCCCCTTCCTCAGGGAGACTCGCTGATCATCTGGTCGTGACCAGAGCGAGGCCCATACCCCTGTCCTTGGGTGACCAGAAATGTGTAGGTTGGGACATTTATTTAATTTCCTTAGATTACAACACCCTGCCCCCAGTGGGGTATCGGTAATATGAAGGGGAAAAATGTTTCATGACCCTAAGTCTCTTGAGACTTAGTAAAAGTCCTTTGGTGGGACCAGCAGATAGCATAATGGTTATCATTGGACTCCCACATAGTCAACTTGGTTCAAGTCCCAGAAACTCACTAGGTGTAAACACATGTGTGCCCAAGATCCCAAGAGGAGAATGGAGAAGAAGGGATTATGGCGTGGCCATCATCCCAGGGGGTGATTCTCGCTTTCTGTCTCTCTCTCCAGTAAGCACATGGACCCTATAGCAAAAATCTTTTTTTTTTTTTTTTAAAAAAAAAAGCCCCTTGGCAAGTGTGGCACTGCAGTGGTGACTGGAATTATGATGTTGCTGATGTGACAGTGATGTCAGACATACAGTAGTGCTTCACAATGAGGCTGTCTGGGGGTCAGATGCAAATGGAAAACTCACAAAACACGACACAGAACAACAGAGCCACAGCCTGTGCCAGTCACCAGCCATGCTGAGTCTCCCGCAGCCAGCGTCTGGAGGTGCGGGAGTGTCCGGGACTTGCTTAAGGGTGAGCTGTTCGGGACGGTCTGTCACCTGTTGATAAGGTGTAGTGTTCTCAACTGGACTGGACTGAGAAGTATCTCATGTTGGGTAAATTCTTTATACAAGCCAAATGATACCTAGTGATAGAATGTTTTTAAAAAATGCGAAATAATAATGTGAAGAGAATGATGACGAGCTCTTGGATGATGGCGGTGTGGATAGTAATGGCTGTCTTGACTGAGATGCATGGTAATTGTGCTCAGAGAAGAGATGTAACACACTAAAGATACATGTGGTCCAGGACCAGCAGCTGGTGTAATGGCTATGTCGCTGGACTCCCACGTAGTCGACCGCAGTTCGAGTCCCAGACCCGGTGGCTTAAACTCACGCTGGGCACGTATATGTGCGTGCCCAAGATCTCGAGAGGAGAATGGAGGAGAAGGGATTGCAGTGTGGCCGTCCCCCCTGGGGGTGATTTCTCGCTTTCTGTCTCTCTGTCTCTCTGGCGAGCACACGCACCCTATAGCAAAAACCTCTCCCCCAAAAAAGAAAGAACAAATAAAATTAATTTCTCCTTCCCTGGGGGAAAGAATAATTAAAACCTAATGAATGCTTAAAAAAAAAAAAAGATGAACTGTTCGCGTCTTGGCTGAGACAGGAACACGGACCTTGGGGCTGTCTGAGGGATTTTTCCTCACTGAAATGTCGGATTTTCATGGTGGGGTCCCTTTGATGCTGGGACTTGTTACTACCCGGTAGGTTTTGCAGGCTGTTATAAACATTTTTTTTCTTTTGTTGGAGAGGTGTTTTTTTTTTGCTATAGGGCACGTACGCTCACCAGACAGAGAGAGACAGAGAGGTGGGTTCACCTGGTGAGGGGCTGCTGCAGCGGGGAGCTGGGCCGGCCCTGTGAGCCCCGTGCTCCTCTGGGAGCTGAGACGGGGGAGGGACCCCGAGGTAGGAGGGTCGGGAGCGAAGTGTCCGTTGAGCCCATCCAGCAGCACCGGGTGGGGATGCGAGAGGGCGGAGCCTGGCTGGCCCCGGTCCTAGTGCTGTGAGTCTGGTGGCCTTGCACTTGTGAGACCTCAGTACGGTTTCCTTTGATGTTTATCACTCCAGACCGTGCTGAGCAAGGAGAGGCACAGGGCTGCACTGCTCAAAAAGCGCTCTTTAATGCCTTTTACAAATTCTTCATAGGCAGTGGTCAACGAAGACACCCAAGGGAACGTGAGCCAGCTGCAAGCTGAAGTGAAGAGGCTCAAGGACCAGCTGGCCCAGCTCACTGCAGGGCAGATGCTGCCAGAGGGCTCGCTTACCAGAGGTAGGACAGGGCGTGCCCTGCTCCCGTGTGCAGCCTGGGTGAGGCCTCTGCTGGGCAGCCGGGGCAAGTTCTGCTCCCATGTGCAGCCTGGGCATGCAGCACAGTAAGGCTGTCCCCGTCTTCCCATGGGGACCTCCCCATGCTCACCTCCTGTGGACTCTGCCTTGTAGCAATGTGGTGCTCTGTGTGATTCTGTGGAGATGCCATGGCACAGTTCTGGAGGAAATGAGGGGGTCAAAATTATTTTGTCTAATTCTTACCCAAAAATGCTGAAAAAGCTAATAGTTTCGTTTAGAGCCACTGCCATGGCTCTTGTCAGAATTTATAAATATCGGGTCATCAGAAAAGTCATGGCAAGGGACCAGCAGTTAGCGTAATGGCTATGTCGCTGGACTCCCACGTAGTCGACCGCGGTTCGAGTCCCGGACCCGGCAGCTTAAACTCAAGTTGGGCGCGTGTGCGTGCGTGCCCAAGATCCTGAGAGGAGAATGGAGGAGAAGGGATTGCGGTGTGGCCATCCCCCCTGGGGGGTGATTTCTCGCTTTCTGTCTCTCTATCTTTCTGGCAAGTGCACATACCCTATAGCAAAAACCTCTCCAAAAAAAGAAAGAAAAGTCATGGCACATTTTCACATAGAAAAACAAAAAAGACCAGCGTGACTTTTCCAGTGACCCAGGACAAACGGCCGGAGAGACTGATCTTCCTGAAGAGTGGCTAGTGCAGAATGAGCTGGCGGGCTACCAAGGCCAGGCCGAAGGGCACAGGCGCTCCCAGGAGGCGCACAGGGCCCCGGGCTCCCTGAGCTTTTCAGGCCTGTCTCTAACTCTGTCCCCCAGTGTCTCCTCCAGCTGTGTTTACTAAAGGAAGAGAGACTGGACTTTTTCAGTAAGGGACTGCTGTGTGGAGGGGCCACTTTGGAATCTGTACTTTGGGGTGACAGCCTGGCTCTTCAAGGGAACTCGAGAGCAATCCGTCAGAGGCTGTCCTGGCTCACGTCTCTGTTCTGAAATTGTGAAAAATAAGCATCTCTCTTCCTTTCCCTTACTTTGTTACTGGATCGACAGAGAGGGCTGACTACATGAAGTATTTCCAGGAGGCCATGTTATTCTTTAAGAAGTCTGAACAAGAAAAGAAGGTAGGAGACCAAACGAATGTAGAGGGAATTCAAGCGTTTCCGGCTGGGGTAGAAGGTGTGTGGTGACGGTGTTGGACTCCCACGTGGCCGACTGCAGTTCAGTCTCGGACCTGCTGGCTTACCTTCTCACTCACCTTTCTCTCTCTCTCTGGTCAGATTTGAAAGTAAAAGTAATCATAAAATAAATAAGTAATTCTTTTGAAAAAGTAAACTTCAGGCTTCTGTGTGGTTTGCATTGTCTTTCCAAGTGAAGGAAGTGGCACTAGCTTAATAAAGACAGTGGGGAAAGGGTGTGGGGATCCAATTTTGCTTTCAAGGTTAAATTTGTGAATACTTGAAATTTGTTGCAGAGTTTATATAAATTTAAGAAAGCTGAATTATGTTCCATGTCTAAATAAATTGTGCATTTAAGTCTCTGGTAGAAAAAGTTACGCAGTTGGAAGACCTCACTCTCAAAAAGGAAAAATTCATCCAGTCGAATAAAATGATCGTGAAGTTCCGAGAGGGCCAGATCACGCGGCTGGAGAGGCTGCACCGGGAGTCCCGGGGACACTTTCTGCCCGAGGAGCAGGAGCGCTTGCTCTCCGAGCTCAGGGACGAGGTCCAGACCCTCCGAGAGCAGGTGAGTGCCCAGCGTCACGGCGCACCACACGAGAGCCACCCAGAGCAGGTACAGGCCTGTCGCCAGGCACCTGCTCTTACGGCAGCGAGACGGTTTTCAGTGGGCTCAGCTGCTAGGGTGCAGGATCCCTGCCTCCTTCCCCCAGTAGTGAGAGCAGAAGGTGAGGGCAGGCCCAGCCAGGCTCCACCCGGGGGGCAGTGGTGGTTGTCAGAACTGGTATTTTTTTAGAGCTGAGATTTGTAAAGTTATGTTGTTACTGTTTTTCCTTTTCCCTCTCATGAATGGATAGATAATATGGGCACATTTTGGGGCCAGCAAGTGGCATGGTAGTTAAGACACTGGACTACCACGCAGCCAAGCAGTTTGAATCTTGCACACGGTCAGAAAATCACACCAGATACATGTGCATACATGTCCAACATCCTGACAGGAGAATGGAGGAGAAAGGATTGCATAGCCATCCCCCTTGGGGGGTGATTTCTCACTTTCCCTCTCACTGTCTTTGATTCTCTCTGGCGAGCACATATACCAGTGAAAAAACTTTACAAATATGTACACACACACACACACACACACACACACACACACATATGGAGAGAGAGAGACAGATGTTGTTTGGAAAGAATAGGGCCCTTCTGTGACTGTGGCACTGCCAGGGAGGCTGAAAGCTGCACGGTTCGCTTCCCTGGCCAGCCTGGACATGGGCTGTTTGCCTGCGCCGAGACCCTAGCAGGCTGGGAGGCCAAGGCAGAGGACTGAAACAGCAAGGGTCTGTCAGAATGGCTCTCTCTGGACTGAGCAGCTGGCATGGATGCTAAGGAACTGGATCCCAGGTACTCTCTTTTTTTAGGCTTTGCCACAGGGCACATGTGCTCACCAGAGAGAGACAGTGAGAGGGAAAGCTTTTTTTGAGATAGCCACACCGCAGTCCCTTCTCCTCCTGGAGTTTTGGGCACGCACGTACATGGACCCGGCGTGATTTCAAGCCATCAGATCCAGGACTTGAACCGCAGTCAACCATGGAAGGGTCCAGAGCCCTAACCACCACAACCTGTGTGCCCGCCGTTCCTCTGACGTTCTGATCTAACCATTCTCCTGTGGGTGAAGGGTCTGCCACAGTGTACCCTGTTGTGTTTAGTCTCCATAGGAGCCCGAGTGGAAGTTTCAACAGTGCAGACCCCGCTGAGAAAGGCAAAGCTGTAGGCTATGCACGTCTTCGGTCTAACGCAGACGCCAAGCTGGTCTTGGTGGGGACAGCAGGGGACCGCGTGCTGTATGTTTGCCCGACACTTTCTTTCTCTCTTTTTTTTTTTTTTTTTTTTGGCGAGC